TCTACCTGTTATAGTTATTGGTAGGAATAATGGTTATCAGACATGATTTTCAACAAGCTAGACCTGCTTGCTGTGTGTTATGATCACAATATGGCGGACATTTACTTCTGTCGTAGTTTTCTACACTAGGCCGTTGCTGAAGTCTAAACGTGTTGTAATCTGGTGTAATACACGTACTCGCAAGATTACATTTAATACTAAGGTTTAGAGTAACCAATATTTTTTGTTATTTACTGTACCTTACACAGGGAAGGATGTTCTATTGTAAAATTTCTGTGTTGTTTGTAACACTAACCTTTTTAGTATGCATTCAATTTACTTGTTGATTCTAATCGCTATCTATTTCATAGAATTAGAAGAATGAAAAGTTTAAGCTTTTAAATCTAGTTGTAACCTGCGAACAGCCGAATTTTAGATTTATACTCACTTAGAAAGTTGTTGAGAAAAATCCACTGTATTAAACGAGAAAAAACGAATATTCCAACACACACAAACACACTCAGACAAAGGATTGAATTCTGAGCTCACGACCAGTAACTCGGTACAATATCTTGGTCGAAGACTCCCCGTGTAACTGTAATGTCGGGCTCCATTGCCCCTAGCTTGCACGGGAGAGATGGGGAATACGAGACGAAACAAGTTGACTGGTTTGGTTTTTCACTTGCAACGCTAATCGCTCCCAGCTACGAAACAACGTTCGGTTTATGCACTTTCTTATCTTACAATGTAACAAGCCACAAAGCGCACTCTAAGCACAGGCCTGTGAATTCAAATACGCAAGGCACGTGAATGACGAATATTGATGAAAAAACGATATGGTGAAATTTCGATGTTAAATTCAAGAAAGAAAGAAAAAGAGACTGTATGTTGAACAACACAGCAACAAGTGCCTAACAAGAAAAATTCAGCTAGAACTCAGTCAAATGCGAGTGGCTAAAAACTGTATATTTTTTTATCAGCGACGAGGCCTACTGCTCTTGTTTACACAGCACAAATGTACACTAGACCAAAAAGTATGTCTTGAAAGAAGGGATACTTATTGTCATGATTTCAGATCGCTGTACTATAAAAAAATGTGAGACGAAAAACAGTCGCGAACACCTACACAAGTACGGTGGAACTACATATGTGGACCAGTCACGCACACAGATGCACCTACCGAAAGAATGTTCTAGTACTGAAGTCTCGCACCAACAACCCGATACTGCCAAGACGGCCCACACCCTATTTCTACACGCGTAATAAAATTATAATCGCGCCATCTGGAGATTGATTCGTTATCACTTACAATGCCACCTTCGGGAGTTTATAACTTAGAAATAGAAATTCTTTCTGATATAAGATTACATTGACATATAAAATAACGTGATTTGTTTTTTGCTAATCACGCTTTAGCGTGTGTTAGTCTATTAAATAAGTGACCACATTTAATAGTAAATGTTTTAGTTTATTAAATAAGTGACCACATTTAATAGTAAATGTTTTAGTTTATTATATAAGTGACCACGTTTTATAGTAAATGTTTTAGTTTGTTATATAAATAACCACATTTAATAGTTAATGTTTTAGTTTATTAAATAAGTGACCACATTTAATAGTTAATGTTTTAGTTTATTATATAAGTGACCACGTTTTATAGTAAATGTTTTAGTTTATTATATAAGTGACCACATTTAATACTAAATGTTTTAGTTTATTATATAAATGACCACATTTAATAGTTAATGTTTTAGTTTATTAAATAAGTGACTACATTTAATAGTGAATGTTTTAGTTTATTAAACAAGTGACTACATTTAATACTAAATGTTTTAGTTTATTAAATAAGTGACCACGTTTAATGGTAAATGTTTACTTTATTAAATAGGTGACCAAATTTAATACTAAATGTTTACTTTATTAAGTAAGTGACCACATTTAATAGTAAATCTTTTAGTTTATTATATAAGTGACCACATTTAATGGTAAATGTTTTAGCTTATTAAATAAGTGACCACATTTAATAGTTAATGTTTTAGTTTATTATATAAATGACCACATTTAATGGTAAATGTTTACTTTATTAAATAAGTGACCACATTTAATAGTAAATGTTTTAGTTTATTAAATAAGTGACCGCATTTAATGGTAAATCTTTTAGTTTATTAAATAAGTGACTACATTTAATGGTAAATGTTTACTTTATTAAACAAGTGACTACATTTAATATTAAATGTTTTAGTTTATTATATAAGTGACCACATTTAATGGTAAATGTTTTAGTTTATAAAGTAACTGACCACATTTCATGGGTAATGTTTTAGTTTATAAAGTAACTGACCACATTTCATGGTAAATGTTTTAGTTTATAAAGTAACTGACCACATTTCATGGTAAATGTTTTAGTTTATAAAGTAACTGACCACATTTCATGGATAATGTTTTAGTTTAT